CTCGAAAGGGAGCGCATGTGGATACTATCTACAACTTTTCTCCAGCTTCCGCTGTACGGACTGGTTGAACAGCACTGTAACTGGATATGGAGTGGGTGCCTCTAGGTGAATCACTCCCGGGAGCGCCAGCGGCTAGATCCCCCAGAAAGGGCAGAACCGATCGCGCAATCCTATCAATCCAGTAGGCGGTGAGACTGTGTATGTGGTGGGGTACTTTCTCCGCTCTCGAAACGGAATTCCCTCCTTCCAACGCTGTGGTAACCAGGGAACCCTATTGTAATCAACTGCAAAGGGGGGGGGGTTGAAAATCGCTACCATTTGGTCCCAAAACCGAGCAATGTTTGCCTACTCCACCACAGCTCAGGGTCACACATTTGGAAAACGACACTGCTCGAGATCCCGAAGCTTAGCTGGGGAATTCCACCACAGTCTTCGTGTAGCCCTGACTTAGCTCTTTCCGATCGCCATCTAAACTAATCCCACAGCGGCCATCTTCTGGGTAAAAAATACGATTTTTGATAGTACCTCAAAAATGACCCAGCTGCCTTTCTGGGCACAGAACCAAGAGGCTTCTGGAAGCAGGGCAACCACACATTGCGTAGTGATTGGCAACAAGTTGCCAATGAAGGTGACATATATATAGTTGATCAAAATTGCTTCCCACTGGAATAAACTTAATCAAAAAATGTTCGAGTTCCACGAACTTTTGGGACAACCTAATACATCGGCTAGTACCCCCTAATCATTGCATAGATCGTATCGCATTCAGTATACCGCTACGTTAAGAACTGAAGTTGAATGGAAATAGAATGCGTGCCGCACCCCAAAAAACCATTAGCTAAGAGCGAAAGCTCAATCTTTTTTCAATTGCCTTCACTTGTTTGGGTAACTTTTCCCTGGACGGATATGAGTAACAGAAGTTTTCTAACCTTCGCGGTTTCTTTGACTATGCTTCAGAGCGAAATGCTCAATCATCTCCTGCTCCGTGCGAATGGTTTCAGTTGTGCTAAAGCACTCCATGCACACGAATTTGCTTTGTAACTGGTGGAAGCGATGCAATCGTACATCGCTGCTGGAGTTCAGCGGTCGTCCGCATCTCTGTAATAAATGAAATAAGAAATAAGTCATACCACTGAGTGAATGTTTTGAATTTTTGTTCATATGTCTAAGGCGCCATAGTGCTACGGGGCTGCAGCCGCTCAGACACACGTCACCATCGGACAAAAACAACTCGTTACGTGTTAGCACATGTCACAACGACGTTTTGTATTAATTGGTCTGGGAGGCGGTCTCAAGGTCCACATGACGTCGCGGGAGCGGCAATCGCAAACACCGCGCGCTTGCACGGAGCGCACGATAAACTCATCACATTTTTGAGTTGTATGGTTGTGTTCAGTTTTCAGTCACGCTCTTCAATTTGATAAGCCTGAATCGTTATGATGTCAGATTTAGTTTTATTCGCGTAACTAGAGTGATTACATATGGTGCAGAAAAATCTGGATTCTGCGAGTCAATTCAGCTTACCTGCCGGTCCCTAATCGTTTGACTAACACAATACTTTTGGGCAACTTATTCTCAGAGACTGCATGTACTTGACGTTTTGTTGCGTACGACGGACTGTCCTGTTGAAAAAATAGTAGCGCTATGCCACATTCACGATAATGAAATCATCGCGAGCGCGCGTCA